ACTCAGGTCCTTGTGCTTGCAAGGCAGGTGGCAGAACCACTGAGCTAAATCCCCAGCCCTTTTTGGGGTTTTTTTGAGACAGGGTCTCACTATGTAGTTGAGGCTGACCTGGAACTCACTATGTAGCCTAGGCTGGTCTCAAACTCACAGTGATCCTCCTGCGTCAGCCTCCCAAGTACTGGGATTACAGGTGTGCGCCATTGCGCCTGGCTTTGGCCTGTTTTTGGTGAAAAATTTGCTGTTGGTCTTATACAAGATCTGCCCCCCCTTTCATAAATCATTTCTCTCACTATGTAGTTGAGGCTGACCTGGAACTCACTATGTAGCCTAGGCTGGTCTCAAACTCACAGTGATCCTCCTGCGTCAGCCTCCCAAGTACTGGGATTACAGGTGTGCGCCATTGCGCCTGGCTTTGGCCTGTTTTTGGTGAAAAATTTGCTGTTGGTCTTATACAAGATCTGCCCCCCCTTTCATAAATCATTTCTCTCTTCCTTTTTTTTTTTGCACTGGAGATTGAATCCAGGGCCTCATTCATGCTACAACTGCAAGCCTCTATGGTTATAATGTGTCTTGTTGCATATCTCTTTGAGTTCATCCTACTTGGAGTTCATTGAATTTCTTTGATATGTAGACTCACCTCTCTTACCAAATTTGGAAAGTTTTTAAACATGATTTTTTGAGACAGGGTCTTGCTCTACATAGTTCAGGCTGGGCTTGAACTCACTATGTAGTCCAGGTTGGCGTCAAACTCTCAGCAATTCTCCTGCCTCAGGCTCCCAAGTGCTGGGATTACAGGCCTGTACCACCACACACCCGGCCCCTTTTTCTACCCTTTCCTCTTTCTCTGATCCTTCCAGGAGAAAGAGAAAGGAGTACTGGATGGTGCCCCACAGTTCTCTTAATCTCTGTTCATTTTTCTTTTTATTTCTCACATTGGATAATCTCAATGAATTTAGTATCAAGTTTGCTGATTCTTTCTTCAACCTGCTCAGATCTGCTATTTAATTTCTCTGGTGTATATTAGACCAGCTTTTTAAACTGCATCATCTGTATTCTGTGCCATTTTTCCTTTTGCCCCGGATCTGGGTAGTTACCACTCAGTGCTACTTTCTATACTTCCATATTTTTTTTTCTATATTTTGATGTTACGCCTTCTGTGACTTTCACCCTTGATAGTCACAAAGTTACTTCCTTTTTACTATCTAAAATTCAGTGTGGTCTGAAGCTCAGATTGGACTGTTTTCCTTTGGGAGATTGGTCAAGGTCCATGCAGTCCCCCTCCTCCTTTTAGCCTTGATTTCCCAGACACTTCACAATAGCCACATTCCCAGAAGACATTTGCCTCTGGTTTGTACACAAATGTGAATTAAGAATCGATTTTACAAACCATTGTAGTGGTACAGGCTTGTAATCCCAGCATTCTGGGAGGCTGAAACAGGTGGACTGTAAGTTTAAACCCAGCCTAGGCATCTTAGTGACTTAGTAAGACCCTGTGTCAAAATAAAAAATAGAGAAGCAATTTTTTTGTACCAAGGATTGAACTGCCTTGGGCTTTTGAGGCAGGCGGTGGCACCACTGAACTAAATCCCCTGCCTGGAAAAAAAAAAAAAAAAGTCTGGGGATGTAGTCAGTGCAAAACCCTGAGTTTAATCCTCAGTTTTTTGTTTTTTTGTTTTTTTGTTTTTTTGGGGTTTTTTTTGGTACTATGGGAATCAAACTCAGGACCTTGTGCTTGCCAGGCAGTCACAGCACCACTGAGATAAATCCCCAGCCCTTAATCCTCAGTATTGCACACACACACACACACACACGCACACACACACACAATTAAGTGGTTGGAAAAAAATCAAAAGAAGAATGCTATTTTGTGTATTTTATGGCACATTAAAAAATACATGAGCCAAGCCGGGGATTTAGCTCAGCGGTTCAGTGGCCTGCCTTGCAAGCGCAAGGACTCGAGTTCAAGCCCCAGTACCAAAAAAAAAAAAAAAAAAAAAAAAAAAAACCATGAGCCAGGAGTGGTGGTGAACACCTGTAATCCCAGCACTCAGGGAGACTGAGGTAGGAGGATCACCGTGAGTCTGAGGCCAGCATGAGATATATCGTGAGATCTTGTTTCAAAAAACAAAACATCCAAAAAAAAAAGTACACGAAATCCAAAAATTGGTGTCCATTAATAAATTACTGACACACATCCTTGGTCATTCACCTCTGAGTTTTCTTTGGCTGCTTTCACACTAGGATGGCAAACTTGAGTAGCTGGGACAGAGATCATGTGGCTGGCAAAGCTGGAAATATTTACTCCCTGACCCCTTTACCAGTCCTTAATCCATGTGACCATAAAGTCTCTATGGTAATAAGGAGCTCTTCAACATGACTAACCATGAGGTGATTGGGCTATCAATGGTTTTTCATATTTTTTATTTTCTGTGTTTCTAGTCTTTCCCTATAATATCATGTGCTGCTTTTAACAATAACAACAAAGTAGAAGTTTTAAACTAAATTGCAGCAGGGCATGGCGGCTCAGGCAGGACTACCACGAATTTCAAGCCAGCCTGGATACATAGTAAAACCCTGTTTAAAAAAAAAAAAAACAGGGCTGGGGATTTAGTTCAGTGATGCCACACCTAACTTACAAGTGCAAGGTCCAGAGTTTGATCCCTGGTACAAAAAAAAAAAAAAAAACCCAAAACAAAACAAAAGCTAAATTGCATACTCCCCAAAACAACTATGCTTCCAAAGGACTTCTCCCCAAGCATGGTCATTCAAATGGGCTTCCAGCCCCCTAGACAGAAGCCCAGAGGTTCTATCTCCCCTCTAGACCCACATTCCCTACTCAGATGGACTGTGTGTCTGCCCTACGCCATGTCAGGCTTTACCTGTTGAAACTCTGACTCCTACCCAGTGGAGCTCCTATCTCCCACAAGGATAGTCACCAGAAGGTACAGGCCCACCCCCCTCCACCAGAGAACAGAAGGGCCAACTTGGCTACCTGGTAGTCTAGCTACTAAGAAACTCTCCTTTCCTGGGTAAAGTGAAGGGTCCTTAGCTCAGTGTAAAGGCTTGCAATGTAACCCAAATCCAGTATCCTCTGAGATGGGCATTGCATGTCCTCTGACCGTCCTACAGGTCATCACCCTGACCCTGTAAGAACTGAGGCAGCCTACCACCTTGTCCAGGCCTTGTCTGCCTCTCCCTTGCTCCTGGTAGGCTCACCTGGGGTCTCAGTGCTCTCTCTGTGTCTTCCAGGTGTCTTCTTGTCCCTGTCCCCAGCAGCAGCAAATGAACCAATCTTGGAAGAAGTAGGGCTTGTAGCCCTGGCACCCCTGGTCAACATGTTGAGCAGCCCACAGCCTAACCCCACAGCTGGCTCTTTCGTGAACCCCCTGACTGGCCCTCTCAACACACTGCTGTCCAGCCCAACACCACCCGGGTCACAGAGCAGTCCATTCTCCAACCTCCTGAATGGCACCCTGAGCAGCCACCTGACTGGTCCCATGGCTGTTTCTCCAGGGGGCACCCTGGTCAGCTCTCTGGGCCTGACCTCCACTGGTCCCCTGAGCAGGCCCCTGATGGGTCCCATGGCAGTATCCCCTGGGGGCACCCTGGCCAGCTCCCTGGGCCTGACCTCCACTGGCTCCCTGACTCCAAGCACCCCCATAGCGGGCCACCTGACCATGTCTAAGAGCAGCCCCCTGATGGCCCCTGAGCCAGGCACAGTTGCCGTCTCTTTGAGCAGCCCCCTGCTCTCCTCCACCGCTGCCCCTATAGGTGTCTCTCAGAACCTTCCAGCCAACCCCATGAGCAGCCTGGTGCTGTCAGAGGCCCCAAGGCTGCGGCTGGCAGAGCCACTCCAAGGAAGCCCTTCTGGGCCCCCCTCCTCAGCTGGGACAGGGCAAGCAGCCACCTCCAAAGGTAACGGGCATGGTAGGGGTGCAGGGTATCCTGGGAGGGCCAGTGTCTGATCTTGTCCTGCTGCTCTCTAATGCCCCTCCTCTCATGTTTGCCCCCTCCCAAATCACTAGCGCTCTCCAATGAACACCCCCGGCCCACCCAAGACCCAGAGCCCCTCAGCATTGCATTTATGGGAGCACCCCTCCAGACCTCCACCCCTGTGGGTACTGTGTCCCCACCGGGCCCAACGATGGCCTTCTCCTATGGCACCTCAGATGCCCAGGCTCAGCCTAGTGTCTCCCAAGGGCAAAAGGTTCCCATCTCTGTCCCCACCTCCCCAGCCAACTCCCTAGCTGGCAGAGTCCTCAACTCTGCCCCTACTCCTGCCCCCCAAGCTGCTGCTATCTGCACCCCCTTGAGCACTACCCACTCCACCTCCCAGCCACTGCCTACCCCTCACTCTCCTCCATGCAACCCGCACACCCCACCTTGCACCTCATCCTTCCCGGCTTCAGTCACGGATACCCAAGGTTCACATACCACGAAGACAAACCGGAAAAACATCCTGGAGTCGGAGCGGAAGCTGACCCACCGCAAAACTAGCAAATTCCCTGATGGCTCCCGAGGTCAGTGACATCACAGGGCTCAGCACTCTCCTGGGGCACCCCAGGCCATCTACCCTGCTGCCTGTGTGGGCTGCTGACACGCCCCTACCATTCTGCCCACCCGCACTCAGTTGAGGCCTTTTGTCATCTCCAGAGTCGAAGCAGCTGGCCTGGGAGAGGCTAGTAGGGGAGATCGCCTTCCAGCTGGACCGCAGGATCCTGTCCAGCATCTTCCCAGAGCGTGTACGCCTCTATGGCTTCACCGTCTCCAACATTCCAGAGAAGATCATTCAGGTGTGTGGCCATCCATCTCCTTGTTGCCAGGGAGCATTCAAGGATGGGGTGGTGTGTTGGCCTTAATGGGTCACTAGGGGGCCCTACCTGCAGTGAGATTAAATATGTTGGAATCCAAAGGGACCCTGGTGTGGAGAAACCCCAGTGCTCTGTCCGAGTAGTCAGCAGATGTCCAGAGTCCACTTCCCACAGCTTCTCCAGAGAAGGGCAGGGCAGGGAGTCCCAAGAGCGGGCAGGTGGCTTTCCAGGTGGGTGGCCCTAACTCTCAAGGGCTGAGCAGTGAACACAGGTCCTGGAGCCACTGAACACCTAGCAGACTTGTCACCTGAGACTTCATTCCAGTGTATTCCTAGAGTATGTAACCTCCTCTTTTGGGAGGGCTGCAGCACATCTCTGCATCAACTGATATGTGTGACAGTCTGTGGAAGGTGCGGGCAGGGGACGGAGGTAGGGCTATGGGTATAGGTTTCCACTGGACACCATACAGCAGCATATGAGTGCCCTGGAAACCCCTTCCTGGCCAACATGGGACTGCTGGAGGCAAGGAGTTAGAGCTTCATCCCTGATTATCAGCCATTTGGGCTTCTCTTGGGAAAATGGTCTCACCTGTGTTCTGGACTCTGGGCGCACGCACGCATGTGTGTGTGTGTCTTTGTGTTTTGTGTTATGGAAGGCTGGACTCGGCTTTACACTGAGCTACATCACAAGCACTTTTTTTTTCTTTTTTTTTCTTTCTTTTTTTTCTTTACAGGGGATCAAACTCAGGACCTTGTGCTTGCCAGGCAGGTGTGGTGCCACAGAGCTAAACCCCTGCCCCCCCACACTTTTTTTTTTCATTTGAGACAGGGCTCAACCTTGTGATTATTCTGCTCTGGTCTTCCAGTGCACTGGGATTACAGGCCTCTGGCTACTGCACCCCCCTCCCAGTCATTTTCCCCCACCCCCTCAGGCTGTATTTATAGGTTGTAGATTGTGTGTAATCTAGGCAGGCAGTAACTTTTGGTTACATGGATTGATTTTGGAGGCAGGTTTGAGCTTGCCCTTTCCTTTTGGTTAGGTATTTAATTTTAATGTGGTCAGAACTATCAACATTTGCCCTTATTTGTACACCTTCATGTCTTGTTTAAGAAATCCTTCCCTAAGTGAACTAATCAGACACAAAACTTCAATATCATTGGTTTCTTTTAAATGAGAAATCCAGAGTAAAAATAAACAGCAAAATAAAAGATAAATAATAAGAAGTAGGGAGATATATCATTCTCAAAGAGGAAGGAGGATCAAGAGATGGAGGGGGCAAGGAGGAAACGGATAAAGGGTGAAAAAAAGGAATTCATATGTTGCGTACATGTACCAACTCCACACAAGGAATGTAAAGATTATGTACTGCAAACATGTACCCCCCAAAAAATAAAGAAGGAGATCAAGACATAGCTGGATGCGGGGAGCAAAGGGAAAGGAGTTAGAAAAAGGAATTAAGGTGTTTTATGTACATGTACCAGTTTCCCACAAGGAATGTAAACATTATACAGTACACACATGTACTAATAAACAAAAAAATCATTCCCTATCAGAAAGTCCTGAAAGTATTCTGCATTTTCCACATTCTATTTATTCTATATTTTCTCTGACATGTTTGGAGTTTGGTATCTTCATTTGAGTCTGCTTCCCTCCCATAACTGATCATACTGGACAGTGTAGAGAGGGGCAATCCCTCTCCTGAGCATTGATGGCTCCTTGTCTAGCCCCAGAGGCCAGCAGGACACAGAGGGCCAATTGGACCAAGATGACCCTAGGGCAGCACATAGCCAAAGTGCAGAGCCTCAACTAGTTCGAGTGAAGAGATGGCCCCTATGCCTGAGGGACATGGGGACAAAGGGTACCAAGACAGGAGACAAGGAGGGCTATGTGGATAGGGTAATGGTGGCAGCTAAGAGCTTCTTCTGAGATACACAGCCAATCCATGGGGACCCTGCAGGAGTCTTAATGTGGCCATCAGGCCAGCCTCTCCAGGTTCACAGCTGTAAGAGCCTGGCATGGCCAGGCCACAGCATGGAGGGTTGCCCAGAGCCTATCTCAGTACCCACCCAGACCTGCATCTCTGTAGGCGCTCCAGTCTATCTCACTTCCGCCTATGCTGCCCTCATCACAGGAACACACAAAACTGGATCATTACTCAGGGCAGGCCCCTTCTTGCTCTTCTCCCACATCTCTTGGCTCTTTCCTTCCATCTAAGTTTTCAGATCCATTCATCAAGTTCAAGGGAAAACCTGGTTCAAATCTTGAGTAGCTTTTTGTTGATTGATGGATTAAGGTATGTTGATTTGGAGACCATCATCCTCGTTACCTGTGGTTCATGTTGCTCAGGGGGACCCTCTGGTGCAGGTGCTGGCTCTGCATTGCTGTCCAAGACCACAACCACCCTCTTGCAGTGCAGATTGCCCAGGGCAACCTAAATTTGGCAAACACACTGTTGAAGCATAATTAGGTCTCTAAATTTTGGCATCTGATATCTAGCTGGCAAAGACATTTCATTATCAGCAAAAGTATCATTGTCTCTGTAGAAATTACTGTAAAAGGAGGCCTCCTGTGGAGTGAAATTAGACATTTAAATGGCAGTTGATAAAATGCATGGACATTTGACACAGGGGTTGGTTGTGCCAGTACCCCACCCCCTTGTATGGTTCCTTTACCCTTGAAATATTACCTAGGCTGTGAAATTTGCTAGTCACAGCACCAAAGGGTAACTCTTTAGGAAAGAGGCAGAAGGGAAAAGAGCAATGGATATAAGGCAGTATTTCTTTTTTCTTTTTTGGTTTTTTGAGACAGGGTCTCACTGATCTGGAACTCACTATGTAGCCCAGGTTGGTCTCCAACTCACAGTGATCCTCCTGCCTCAGCCTCGCGAGGGCTGGGATTACAAGTGTGCGCCACGACGCCCGGCTAAGGCAGTATTTCTTGCATGTTCAAGGAATGCAAACCAGTGTGACACCCTCTGAACCACATTGGCAACTTCACTCTAGTCCTTCTCCCCAAGATCCTCCTCACTAATTCCACACCTACTATTCCTCTGTCATTCAGTGGCCAGCACTTTGGCCATTGAATACTTACTGCCCAGGGACCTGTCTTTGTCTTTGGAGCAGCTTCTCTACAGCCCTACTGTAGAGAAGTGGCCTTTGGGACCTCGACTGCCACCCAGGCTGGCTCTCTGTAGGGCCCACTGGGAGCAGACTGATGTCTAGTCCCGTTCAGAAATCAGAGATCTTCCTCCTGGTCTCCAGACCATCTGCCTAAGGGGCCATTTGTTGATTCACATCTGCCTCTAAAATCCATTTGGCTTAGCCTTGATTTAGTTTGCTTTTCTGGACTCTAATGTCAGTGGCTGCTAGACTCCCTAGATTCTACTCAGACCTGGTCATTTTCTTCAGGATTGCTATATAGCTTTAGGCCATGACTGAAAAGCTTTAATTGAGCCCCATTATTCAGTGAATACTCACTGCCGACTTTTCATTGAACCTGGGTGTTTCGTTTATGAATTCAGTTATGGCATTTTTTTTGAGCCAACTAAAAGCAGTCTTAGGGCTCATACCTGTCACCCCTTCTATACAGTTACCAAGATCTCTGTGGAAAATGTTCTGAGCTCTTTTCTTCTCAGCACCCTAGTCCTAGGAGACCTTGAGTCTAGCTGTGGCCATGTGAGAGGAACAAGGGCAGTAGAAGAGGGCAGGTGGTGCCCTGGATGCAGCCACAGCATCTGATGTCCCTTGCTGCCACTCACTGACCTGCTAAGAATGTTTTTGACTTTTGCAAAAATGATTTGGTATCCAGATGCCTTGCCAAACCTTCTTACTAGTTCTAATAGCTTATACATAATCTTATTTTTTCTTTGCAGCCAATTGTTTCATATAGACAGTTGCAGCTCCTCTATTCCCTTTTTAAAATTATTTATTTATTTTGGTTTTTTTGAGACAGGGTCTCACTATGTAGTTCAGACTGTTGCAGAACTCACTATGTAGCCCAGGCTGGTCTTGAACTCACAGCGATCCTCCTGCCTCAGCCCCCGAGTGCTGGGATTACAGGTGTGCGCCACCATGCCTGGCTATTCCCTTTTAAATTAAATATAAACTGATATATAAAAACAAAGGTGTACATATGATGTCTCAAGACTTGTATACATTGCATAATCAGGATACTAACAATGATCTCCTTAAATCTCTCTCACTCAGTTCCGCTGCCTGCCTTGCAAGCACAAGGTCCCAAGTTTGATCTCTGGTACCAGAAAAAAAAAAAAAAAAAAACTGATAGAAGCAAATATTGGCTATTTAAAAAAAGAAAGAGAAAGCATAGTATTCAAAGAGGAAGTACCATTCAAAAAAATCTCTCTCACTTACTCACTCTTCATCTCCCTCTTCAGCGCTGGAAATCAAACCCAGGATCTTGTGCATGTTAGACCAGCTGAGCTACACCCCAAACCCTAAATCTCATTTTTTTCTTTGGCATACAGTAGCTGATGTTTAGATTCTTGGGCAGAGTACTCATAAAGCAGCAGGTCATGTGGACAACCCTCTCCTGTATCTACCTTGACAAGGAACACTAGTCTCCCCACTAAGTATAAAGTGTGTTTCAAACTACTCATCAGATCTTCTCTTAGACAAATCAGTTTGTATGCTTGGTTCCAGAAAACAAAATCCCCTCTAGCTGTACTGCCCAGAAAAATGCCAATACCGCAAGGGACTTTCCTAGGGGACATTCCACTAACCCAAGAGAGCATGCAGGCACCTAGTCAGGTGTCCCTGGGCCGTGGATTTAGCTCAGTGATTTCAGCGCCTGTTTTGCAAGTGCAAAGTCCTGAGTTCGATCCCTGGTATAGCTCCAAAAAATGCTAGTCAGGTGTTCCTAGTCTGGCACAGATGTCTCTAGTGCCATACCCATGCTCCACTTCAGGTGCTCACCTCCATGTGGGAGGCCCACCACCCACCCACAGCCACTTGCCTGCCAAAAGCCCAGGTGGTCTGGTGCAGGGGAGGCTGAAAAAAGAGAAATGCTTGGCTTCCAGCCTCTTAAGAAAGTCACTTCTTTGTCTTAAATTGAGGACCTCAGTCACTTTATGTTTTTTTTTTCTTTTGGTATGTGGGGATTTTTTTTTTTTGGTACCGGGGATTGAACTCAGGCCCTTGCGCTTGTGAGACAGGCGGCAGAACCTCTGAGCCAAATCCCTGGCCCTATCTTCTTGGTTTTAAAATAAATATGTATAGGAGAATGAAGTCCCTTCTAATTAGGAAGATAACTGGTACAAAAGAAACACTAAGTAGTAGTTAGAAAGGATGTTTGCCTGATGCAGTCACTGCCTGGCAGGGGGTGTGGTAGATGAGGAAGTGAGTAGAGACCAAGTCAATGCAACAGATTCCCATGTCCAGGTACTGGGACCAGCAGGACCTTCAGTGCTGGGGCCAGAGGATACTCTTAGGATAATGAAGGCGGGGCCTTCAGCAGAGCCAGGAAGAAACCTAGGAAAGACCACAGACTCTAGGACAAGGCAATTCTGGGGACATGAAAAGCCCCCTCATTTTTCTTATACCTCCAGACTCCTACCTACACTTCCTGTCCTCAGTTCCTGGTGGCCTCAGCCCAAGCTCAAATATCTGGTGATAGATGGGGCAGGACACAGAGCTGGATACTTGAAGAGTTTTGGGGATCCACTGGCCTTGCTTGGGTTGGAGTAAGCCTTGGGGGACTCTCCCTTGGGCTCATTCCACTGGGCTTCCATGTCCTAGGTCCCTCAGGTCTCTCTCCTAGGACCTTTTTCTTGTGCATCTCCTCATATTGTGGCCTGCCATACCCAACAGCCTCCCTCTAGTCCCTTTGCCTGCCAGTAGGCCAGAGTGGGGCCAGAAGGTACCTGATAGCTACTCTGAACCCACAGGCCTCTCTGAACCCCAATGACCACAAGCTCGATGAGGAACTGTGCCAGACACTCACACAACGCTATGTGAGCATCATGAACAAGCTGCAGAGTCTGGGCTACAATGGACGGGTACATCCAGCGCTGACGGAGCAGCTAGTGAATGCCTATGGCATCCTGCGTGAGCGGCCAGAGCTGGCTGCATCTGAGGGTGGCTCCTATACCATGGACTTCCTGCAGCGCGTGCTGGTGGAGACTGTGCACCCCAGCATGCTCACTGATGCACTACTACTGCTCTCCTGCCTCAACCAGCTGGCACATGATGATGGCAAGCCAATGTTCATCTGGTAACACCGGCGCTCGGCTGGCCCAGGCTTGCTCTGCTCTGCACTCCTGTGTACAGCCATTAAATCTTCCCACAGAGGCTACCATTAGGCCCAGGCTATTCTGGCATGCTGCCACCTATGGATGGCTTGCCAGACCCCTGCACCAGGATCTTCAGTCCTACCTGCTATGAAGGTCCAAACCTAACCATTGGAGAGATCCCTGGAGCAAAGTTTGGCAGCTTTCTGCTTTGGTCAGAAACTCCCAGGTCTCCTTCCCTTGGTGATGGAAGCAGTAGAAACTCTGAGGTTTGGATGGAGAACAGGAATTGCAAAGGAGTGGAGCAGTGCCCAGCAGTGGTAGGTAGAAACTAGGGCAAAGAGCTTCAGGGCCTGCAGGGCAGGAAGGAAGTAGTAGGAGGAGATTCAGAAGACAACAGCCTCACCCAAACCTAGGCAGGGAACAGCCTGGGAGATGGCAGCCCCTTTCCAAGATGCCCAAAGTCTGAAAAGAAGAGGCCACCTTCACAGGGTCCTGGAGACCTAGGATGAGGGACTCAGAGCTGGAGAGAGCCAAAACTGCCAGCTGAGGGCCTGAGGCACACAGGTTGGATAGGGAAGCAAGGGAGGGGAGGGGAAAGGGGGATCCAGGGTATGACTGGATGCTGGGGGTAACCTAGCAAATATTGGCTATTTAAAAAAAGAAAGAGAAAGCATAGTATTCAAAGAGGAAGTACCAGTCAGCTGGTCTCACTCACTCTCTCTTCATCTCCCTCTTCAGCATTGGAAATCAAACCCAGGATCTTATGTGTGTTAGACCAGCTGAGCTACACACCAAACCCTAAATCTCTGAGATGGGAAGGGCTGTGGGCAGTGTGGGAAGCTGAGGTGGGTAGGCCAGGATGGGTTTTAGGATGCAGTTAAAGAAGGTAGCATGGGAAGGCCTAGAGTGGCCTCTGGCCTACAAGGTAGAAAAGGGCAGTCCCTGCATGTGGGAAGTGGCAGAGGCTGAGCTAGAGAAGTGGGGGATAAAGATACCAACTGTTGGGGGTCCCAAAGCACCAGTGATCACCAGTTAGGTTGGTAGGAGGGGATGCAAGGGCCACAGGGTCTGGGTTCAAACAGAAATTCTGTCAGCTACCAAGTGAGGAGTCCAGAGGGTATAGAGAGTACTAAGGTCCTGTCTCTGATGCCAGGCCCCAGGAGCTTGCTGCCTTCTGCCCCCACCCCCAGTCCTCTGGCAACTTCAGGGAATCCAGTCAGACAGCTCAGCCTCTGGCTCAGTTTGCAGAATAGTCAGGACAGGACTTGATCCAGAGGGCAACAGCTTGGCCAGATGAGAAGCAGAAGCCCCTCCATCTCCTTGGAAACCTGGGTGGATGATACTCCTGACCCAAACTTGCAGTACAATTTAAAAGGCATTTGGCTGGGCATGGTGGCACAAGCCTATAATCCCAGCACTCGAGAGGCTAAGGCAGAAGGATCCATAGCCACTTGCCCTCTTTCTGCCTTAGCCTCCTGAGTGCTAGGTTACAGGCGTGCACTACTGTCCCCACCTATTAACTGTAATTTCTATATATTACTTGAACCTTATCTCAATAAATAATAATATAAATAAATGTTTGTACCAGGCTGATTGAAAGATGAGTGCTGACTCATAGCCAGAATTAGAAAGGTGGGCATCCTAGGGAAACAAGCAGACACTGCGAGCTGGTAGCAACAGTATTATACTAGAAACCTAGGGAGCCACTGCCAGAGTGCTCAATGAACAGATACTGGTTTCTACTTGGCTGTTATGCCCAGGAGGAGTCATCACAGGGTGGATCCATGTCCCTACCCCCAGGAGAATAGAAGCTCTCAACTTGAGGTAGGATCACAGGGCAACCAATACTATAAACCAGCCTTCGGAGAGACTGTGCAGGGCACTGAGCCGCCTCTATTGATGTTGGGTCTTTGAACTCAGGAGCTAATTCTGAGTGAGGTGGCCAGGGGGACCCTGGGGAGACTGAGGCCCCATCTGACAGGCCTGTATGCTGCTCTTCCTGACCTCCTCAGCTCTGAATGAGCTTCTGAGCTATTAGGCACTCATGGTGTACCCCAGCAGGCTGAGGTGGCTGAGTGTCAGTCAGCCTGCAATGGGTTCAGCTGCTTTTGCTGCTAGGCCACCTCTGCGGTGCTGGGTGTTGTCTGCTGAGCACAGGCACGTGGATTCACTTTCTTTGCTGCCAATGTGTGCCTGCTCCTTGACAGACCAGTGCACATCAGCAACCTGGTACACATAGTCATAGCCTGGGCCCTTACTCCGTGAACTATCAAATGCAGCTAGACATGGCCTGGGGTCCTGGGTGCAGCGCTGATGGCTTGGGTGCCCATGTATCTGGACTTTGCATGCCTGCAAGAGTTGTTTGATCTCCATGCAGCTCAGTGTTGCTTGACATGGGCACATTGCATCTGCAGTTCAGGACCAACTTCAAACTTCTGGGCAGCAGGCTTCTCCTGGTCTCACAATATCCACTGCTACACACTATCCTATGTTGTTTCGGAGGATGTGCTGGCCTCCAAGGGCCTGTTGTCTACTTGGATACAGGTCTTCCCAATCCCCCATCACAGTGTGTCCTAGTGGGAAGGGCATGAGCTTCAGGGCCAAATGGGAAAAGAGAGTTGGGGGCCACTGGTGACACTGGAGGTGCAGCTAGTTATTGTGGATGGGTACTATCATGGGGCTCCTATACCACAAACACGTGAATGTACCAAGTGAAGAGCGTGGAGGAAAGGGTTGCTGGGATATGGCAGCCCTCCCACCTACACTCCTCTCCATGGTAGAAACAGATCTCTGCTTACATCTCTGCTTGCCACCTCTCACACTTTGTTCACTGACCGTAGCACCGCAAGTCCCCAGAAAACCCTTGGAAGGTGTACCGATCAGGACCTAGTTGAGGGCTACGTGTCCAGGATGCAGATGGCCACCCTCAGCTGAGCCCACTGCACACCCCTGCCCCTCAAAAAGGATAAGCCCTTGTGCTACATACAGATGTCACTGCTGCACAACTGGGCCAAGCAGTCTGAGGACAAGAGCCACCAGAGTAGCAAGGCTGTGGCCTTCAGAATACTCCTGGGCAACCTAAATTTCATATTGTTTGTTGACTTAAGGGAGGGTTTTGCATGCAGTTCAGGCTGGCCTTGAACTCACTATGTAGCCCAGGCTGACCTCACAGTGATCTTTCTGCCTTCTGACTTCTTGCTAGATGAGGTGAAGTTCTGGACAAGGCAAGGCAAAGGGCCACTAAGCACTGGGTTTCTCTGCATACCATGTTCAGGAGCCAGTGTAGCACAAACTCTTCAGCTATTTCCAAGCTTCCTGCCAGCTGGCTCCTTGGGCCCTGGGTACTGTGCCTGGTGGGTACTGTGCCTGGAGATGACTCTTTTGTGAAGCTCCTGCTGATTCCTCCCTCCTCAGCCCCTAACAGGGTGGATCCCAAATGTAACCTAAGGATGGTACAGAGGTGAGTGGCATTCTAGGTGCCAAACAAGGGATGCCCTGGCTCCCTGCTCCCCCAGGACCATGAAGCAAGAGAAAGGTTGCCACCTCGACCAGGCAGGAGCATGGCTAAGACCATGGGCTGATGCCTGAACTACGCCACATACCGCAAGTGCCAGACCATAAACCCCAGGCACAGCAGGTGACACAAACCACAGTGCAGAGGCAGCCATACCCAAGAACTGAAAGTCTAAAGTAAATCTTTATTGTGGAGGCCTTCACACAGTCTCCTGGGCCCGGCGGTACTCATAGACACTGCCACGTTCAGGGAAGGCTGGGAATTGGGGGGCCGAGCAGGGAGGTGGGGCAGGGTCTTCTGGGTTCCCATAGCCTCCACCACCGGGGGTGTGAAGGCAGAACACATCCTGTGGAAGAGAGGTCCAAGTTCGGAGTAGGCATGGCCCTGCCCCAACCAAAGCAGTATCTTCCCCTCTGGACCTCAGAAGCCCAGTGAGCAGACCTCTTAAACATCAGAGCCTGCCTGGTGCAGTAGTACACACCTGTAATCTCAGCATTCCGGAGACTGAGGTGGGAGGATCACAGCAAGTTTGGGCAACTTAGTGACTTAGTGAGAACCAGTCTCAAAACAAAGGGCTGGGGAATATAACTCAGTACAAAGGCTGAAGAAGGAAGGGGAAACAGCAGGAGACTCCCTTACCCCAGGGTACACAGTCACTGATGTCTTCCCGCCCAGATTCACTATGCGGCCATCCTTGCGGATCAGCAGGTTTAGGCCACTGGCACCTGGCTCACCCCCTGCAGCAAGAGGCAAGATGAAAGGGTGCCCAGGAAGAAATGGAGTGGGATGGAGAGGTAGGGGGGCCAGGGAGGGTGGACCCAGCAAGGCTGAGCTTGGGACCCGGCTTGGGAGAGGAATAGAGTAGGGGGAAGTGAGGAGCCACCCACCACAGAGGCCATAGGGCCTGAATGCACGGCGCTCAGTCAGCACAGACAGCAGGGCCTCCTCACGAAAAAGCAGCTCACGAACTACACCATCACCACCCCGAAAGTGGCCTTGACCCCCAGAGTCTGGCCTCAGCTCGAAGCGCCGCAGGATGACAGGGTACCTGCACAGATGGGGTCAGTTCAGCCAAATGAATCCCCACACAGTTGCCCACCCCTCACTCTGCTCACCGGCTCTCCAGGATCTCTGGGTCAGTAATGCGAGTGTTAGTCATGTGGCTATGCACACCACTGCGTCCATGCCAGCCGGGTCCTGCACCCGCGCCTCCAGCCACTGTCTCATAGTAGCCCATGTGGGCATTGCCCAGAGTCACGTTGTTCATGCAGCCCTGGCAAGGAAGTGGTCACTGCCCTTGGATGGAGTGGGGCACGCACTTCCTGTGCCACCAGCCAGTCTAGCAGCCCCAGAGCTACATACACCCCACCTGAATGTACCTGGGAAGCTGCACAGGCCCCAAAGGCCCCCAAAATGACATCCACCACACGTTGTGATGTGAGAACATTGCCACCCACTACTGCGGCCTCCGGGGATGGGTCCAGGATGGAGCCTCTAGGAATCACCACACGCACAGGAGCCAGGCAGCCCTGTGTGCAGGTGGGTGGTAGCCAGGCAGTTAGTGCTGGATCCCTCTTGGGTTCCAGCCCCTGAAAAAATTGGTCTCCACCCACTCTTGGTCAGTTTGCTCTGACTTCACCTAGGTGGGGACCACCCACACACACTTCATCCCTACAAACCTGGTTGAGTGGGATGTCATGGCCTACAAGACACCGCAAGCAGTAGATTAGGGCTGACAGTGTTATGGCCCGTGGGGCATTAAGGTTGCCAAACACCTCAGGCCCAGTGCCACTGAAGTCAAATACAGCACTGCCCTGCAAGGCAGAGGGGCAGCAGAGGGGAGAGCTCAGCTTAGCATTCCTGCAGTCGGCAAGGCCCCAGATGCCAACAGGCCCTCCCTGTCTCTCCAACAGGCCTGACCTGTGTCAGGTTGATCTGCACACGGAGGTGGATAGGGGAGCCATCATCCATGTGGTCCTCCGCAGACACCTCCAGAGGCAAGCCCTGGGCCTGCCGGGAGGTCCCAAAGGCCCGTAGCATATCACGGACTGCTAGCTCAGCATTTGCCTTGCAAGGAGAGGGATCAGCTGCAGCTATGCCACTTTTCAGGGTGGCCCAGCTGCCTTGAGACAGGCTCAGTGATGACCCCATGTACCTGTTCCCAAGCCCACCTGAATATGGCCCATGTAGGCCTGCACCACATCCAGACCATACTGCCCGATGAGCTCCCCCACCAGCTGGATGCCCTTTTGGTTGGCTGCCACCTGGGCTCGGAGATCCGATAGGTTGTCGTGCAGGTTCCTAGTTCCGCTACAGCCAGGGATCTTGCCTGGTGCCCGCAAGGCCTCCGTCACCGCTGGATGGACAAAGTGATCATTGATCCTCCCTTCACATCCCAGGCCACCTGTGCCACAGCCACTGCAGCCCCCTGGGTATTGAAAGCTCCCCACCTCCATTAATGACTCAATGTCCTGAACATTTCCACCCTTCTGCTAAGTCTTCTTCCCAATGCCCAGCATAACAGGAGATCCTGGGCAGGGAGCTTTGCCAATGACCTCACTGAAGCTGAAGGTGTCTAGAGGGGCACAGGTTCATCCCTCAACAAATTCCCCTCCCTTGTTTATCCCTCCTTCCTTCTCTAGGCCTCTCTTATCTCTCCCAGGAGAAAAACCACTTCCCTGACATCTTCCACTCGTCCTGCCCTCAGTCACTGCTACCACTGGCCTTCAAAAGAATATCAGGCATCTGCCTGTGCCCCACCCCCATACTGCAGGATTCCCAGATCTGGATGAGGTTCCACTTCCACTCTGGCAAGTAGTGCAGGTTTGGCCCAGGAACCATTTTGTACCTAGGGAAAACTGTCTGCACTCCAGTCTGGGTCATGGTCCTCTGAGGCCCCCAAGCCACTGTGACCCCTGCTCCATGCTTGCACTCTCCCTCCATGATTTACACCCCTGTCCCAGCTCCCAGTAACCAAGGCTGATCTTTTTGTGTTCACTGCACCCAGAGTGGCCTGTGGTTTTTTCACTCCCACTCTCTTCCCTGCCCTCATCACCTCCCCTCACTCTGGGACACCTCTCTGGGTTCCCACATTTGTGACCTCAGCTCAGTCCTGCCTCTTTCTTTTCACAGATGCTCTATGCCAGCTTGGTGCAAAGCCTCCACCCCCGAGTTGCCCAAACTTGATCCTTTCGCAGCCTTCAAACACTGACCTTGAGTTCCCAAGTGTTAACTCCACCCAGTTTGATGCTCAGCATCACTTAGGGCAACTCCACCTGCCACATCAGACAGCTCCTTCCTGGCTTCTAGGTCAATCTAGGACCCCCATCCTCTACAGGTGGATGTGCAGACAGAGCACTACAGGTCCCACTCAAGTCCTTCACAGCCCTGCTGCCCAGGGACTCAGACCCAGGTACAGGCTCAGAAGGCTCTAAGGATCTGTAGCCCCTTACCCTTAGCATTGCTCTCTGCAGCCCCCATTGTGGACTGTAGCAATCACCCAACTTGAAATATGCCCTTCTTCCTCGTACACTCTGCCCTTTGGGTGTCCTGCCCAAGTCTTCCACTATACCAAATCCCAGAAGAACTCTCTGGTCCAGGAATTATAAATTCCTCCAATCATCTCAAAGATGATGTGCAACTGCCCAGTGGGGTTACTACCTGTCTCCCCCAAGCAGGCCAGGGCTGGACTATATCCTAGAGTCAGTCCAGGCTGTTACCAGCAGCAATGATGCATCCCAACCTGCTAAGTCCCCACCATGGTCCCACTCCTACTCACCCTCTTCTTGGAAGACACCCCCTTGGACCAGCTTGAATGACAGAAAGACAGCACCCTCCTGTTGCAATGTGGTTGAGTGGGGGGGCATGGAGCCTGGTGTAATGCCCCCAATATCTGCATGGTGCCCTCGGCTGGCCACATAGAACACAGGCTGTGTCTGACCTGGCCAAAACACCTAGCAGGTAGAAAACAACGGTCAGCTGTGTCAGCTGTATCAGCTGCCTTTGCCTCACCACCAAAAAGTACCCAGGCAGCATGCCTCACCGGTGTGATGACAGTCAGGTCTGGAAGATGGCTGCCCCCTGCACTGGGGTGGTTGCTGAGTAGCACATCACCAGGGTGGAGGTCAGCACCCAAATGCTTGATCTAAAACCAGGAGATATGTACAGTGCGGGGAGGGGGAACAGAGGCAAGGGCAAGTGGGAGATGGGGGAGAGGTACTGCACCTGAAACTGCACAGTCTCCTGCATGGCTCCCAGGTGCACAGGTATGTGGGGGGCATTGGAGACCAGACCCCCATCAGGCCCAAAGAGGGCACAGGAGAAGTCAAGGCGTTCTTTGATGTTGGTAGAAATGGCTGTGCGCTGCAGGATGCGGCCCATCTGTTCTGGGGCACAGAGTAACCAGGCACTTGGTGATCCCACCACCCACAACACAGCCCCAGAAAAGGGAACAACAAGACCCACATGGCCTCCCAGCCATTTTCCCATGTCCTGCGAAAGACCAGGATGGCAGCAGACACACCCTGGCAGTGAAAACTATAGCCTGTGACTCTTGGCCTTTTGTGGAGGACACCAGCTTCCTTTCTAGCCTACCTGCAGCCCCTGACTAGAACCTAGGGTCTCCCCTCCGCCCTCTACCCTGCCTGGAAAACCAAGAACCTAGTTCCTAGGCACAGACACTGACTCCCAAAAGTACCCGGCCTGACCCTGCACAGATGGACTCACTGTAGTGACCTGATTTCTGTTCCTAGATATCTGCAGATCATGAGGGTTCCTACCCTATCTGAACCCTGCTGTTGCAGCAAGTGGTGCCACCCCAAGGCCAAGGCCATTCTGCCCATCCTGTCACCAGCAGGAATCCTTCCCTTCCCCTTGGTCATATTTTCCCTTGACATACACCTCCCAACCCACCACGTGACAAGAGCCAATGCTATCAGCTGCCTCATCTGTACCTACCCTGTCCAGAGCCCCAAGCAGCTGGGCCTGTGGGGAACATAGCAATGGCCACTCACCAGCAATGCTCATGAAGCGGTGTGAGAAGATGGACAACTGGATAGGGTCAAGCTTGGTGCCCACTGTGCTGGGGGCCTCAGCCCCCACAGAGATGCGGATATCCCCTGTCTCAATCACCTCTGCCTGGCAACCCGGCTCCACAAGGATGGTACTAGGGGTAAGCAGTACAACGGGGCTACAAGGAGCCAGCACAGACCCCCTCCCAACCAGGGATCTCACACCCGAGTCAGGGAATACCTCAACAACAGAACTCACAAATACCTCAGACCCCTTTGCAGCCTTAAGCCAGAGAACCCCCTACAAGAGATCCCACAGTTCACCGCTCCAAGGCTCCAGCCAGGCCAAGCCTCAGCCTACCTGTTGTTGTCAATGATGAGGCAGGGCCCCTGAAGCTGGTGCCCATAGCTCAACTCTCCTAGTAGATACACAGGTGTCTCCTGGTAACCCCCCTCGAAGTAGCACTGGGTCACCTGAAGAGTGTATGAGGTGAAACAAGCTCCTAGATCCAGCTTCCCTGTGGCCCCTCAAGAGGGCTTGGCCTCCCCTTCGAAACTTGATTCCATGTCCCACAGATGTGACCAGCACAGACCAGGCAACCAACCTTGTCCAACCGTGGAGGACCAGTCTGGGCTTTGGCAGTATCTTCCAGATGAAGACCACTGCGGCCAGTGCCTCTCACCCGCACGTTGTCAACCACCACAGGCCTCTCGGGGATGACAAAGCCAAACTCTCTCATGTACCTGTAACTCCCCCACCCCAGGTAGCCATCAGGGTAAGGTAGCCAGATCTGCAGGGCACCCACCAGGCTACCAGGATAAGGCTCATGTACCTCTCCACAAAGGCTGCCCCAAAGTCACCCGCCTGAGGTGAGTGGGCTGTGGCTGGATGCTGATGGGCAGAAACCATCAGAGCACAATCAGTGCCCTGGTAGCGAAGGTGCAGGAAGCTCTCAGTGCTAATCTGGGACCTGCAGTGGGAAAAAAGAGGCACTCAACCAGTGCCCCTGAGGACACCCATCCTGCTTTCTCAGGTACTTGGAGTACAGAGATCCTCCTTGTTCACTGCCCTGAAGGACCAGGAAACTTTCCATGTGGAAAGTCGTTGGGCAGTAAATCCGCCAAGACTGTGATAGGGATAATAAGGCCCTTTGCCCAGCAGCCCCAGGATCCCACCTGGGGAAGCCCTGGGCCAGTAGGGTATCCACACACTGCTCTTCCAGATGACTCAGCCTCTGGTCCAGCTGCACAAAGGTCTCAGGCGCATAAGGCAGGGAGCAGGGCTCCTGTGCCTCATGCACCACATCTGCCAGGGCCAGCCCCAGTGCTGACAGCAGCCCACTGTGCCTGAGGGGATGGGGAGGACAGGGTTAGCACAGAGGTGAGGGAGCATCTCCAAAGCCAGCTCCCATAGTTCAGGATATATGCCTTACCAAAGTATCCATGCCCAGACCCACCTGTGAATGTGCACAGCGTCCATGCCCAGCGCCCGGGCAATGGCGCAAGCATGCTGTCCACCAGCTCCCCCGAAGCAGGCCAACACATGGGCTGAGGGATCATGGCCTCGTGCCTGGGGATCCAGTAGGGCTCAGTGACCTCTCCTACTCCACCTGTCCGGCCCCCCACCTCACTCCTGCTGGGCCAACTGAGTGGGAGATATGGGGGAAGGGTAGGGCTCAGCTGGGAAGGCAAGCAAGGATAACTGAAAGTGGGCATACCTGTGTAAGAGCACGGATGGGCCGGCACATGGCCTCGTTGGCCACACGCACAAACCCCATGGCCACCTCTTCCAGGCTCAGAGGGGAGGCCGGGCAGGGCCCGGTGGTCAGGAAGCTGTTGACCTCAGTGGCCACAGCCTCCAGGGCCTTTCGGGAGGCCTCATGAGACAGTGGCTGGTCCTCTCCCGGCCCAAAAATACAGGGGAAGGAGGCAGGCAGCAGGCGACCCAGGACTAGATTAGCATCTGTCACTGTCAAAGGGCCCCCTAGAAGGTGGGCACAGTTTGGGAATGGGCTGGAGGCAGGGGGCCAGAAGTGGGCAGCAGAGATGGGGCTGAAGGGGTGGGGAGGGCAAGGGGGCAGAGTACGGAGGGCAGGGCCCAAGGGGACAGACATGAGCTCTTACCTTTGCGGTAGCAGGCAGGGCCTGGATGGGCACCTGCTGACTCAGGCCCAACCACAAAGAGGCCAGACCTTCGGAGACAGGTGGAGGACTGCAATTGGAAGTGGGGCAGGAAGAAAAGCTGGGGGGTCTTAACCAGGCTAGGGGATAAGAGCTGACCTGAAGAAGAGGCGCGAACCCCCACCAGCTGCCACTGTGTTGATGTCCAGTTGGGGAGCCTGGAGAGTGACACCAGCTGTGCTGGCTTCAAAGATATGCTCAAATTGCCCAGCATAGCGGCTCACATCTGTGGACGTGCCTGGAGTAGAATGGGATGCTGGGAGTTACCCAAAGACCCACATACCTAACTTTGCTCAGCTGGGCCTTTCCCAAACCCCTATTCAGCCTTTATACCTCCCATGTCAAATCCGATGACAGGCTGACCACCCTCTAGCTGGTAGGTGGTGGCTGAGTAGCCAACCACACCTCCGGCAGGTCCAGAAAGCACAGCCCGGGAGCCAGTGAAGGCATCCATGGGTGCCAAGCCGCCATCAGAACGCATGAAGAGCACCTGTACATCCTGTGATGGGGCAGGCAGACAGTGAAGCACTGGGCAGGCGTAGGGCCAGGGTTGGAATGAAGTGTTCAGGAGCCTCACCTTCAGCTGGCCCTGGAAGCCACGGCAAAAGCCCTGAATGTAGCGCTGGATGGTGGGAGTAAGGTAGGCATCTGCACAGGCTGTGTGCCCCCGAGGAACAATGCGCACCATTGGCATAGTCTCCGAAGACAGGGATACATGTGTGAAGCCCAGCTCCCGGGCCAGTGTACCCACCTGCTGCTCATGCTGGGCCCACCTACAGCAAGAACCAATGGGCAATGCACCTCCCACCATGGCCTTGTGCCCCCACCACAGGCCCACAGTCCTCCACCCACAGCATGACCCCCACTCACGTGTAGGAGTGCATAAGCACCACAGCCAGGCTCCGGATTCCCCGGGACAGTAGCCCTTCCAGCTTCCCACGCAGGGACCCCAGGTCCACAGGCTGCTGTACCTCCAGCAGGTCCCCTGTGCGGCCTGCAAGAGCCCACGGACTCGTCAAAGGCTGCCAGGATCTGCCCACTCCCAGACCCCATTGCCAAGGGCAGCACCCCTACCTTTGACAGGTGTACCAGCACCTGGCTCGCTACGATATAGCACCACACGCTCCTCCACCTCCAGTACCTCCTCATACAGCATCTCTGGCATTGACACCGCCTGTGGGCAGGCAGAGGCTCAGGGAGACCCAGGCCTGAGGGTCCTTTCAGGGTCCTGTGTAGGTGGGGCAGTGCAGGCAAGGGAATATGTCCCAACAAGCCAGCAGTCAGGCCCAGGAGACAGTCAGACATGCCCAGCAATGATGACTCAGGGAAAGCATCTGAGAGGAATGTGACCCTGCCCACCCCATGGGCAACTTCCTCTGGACCCAACGTGGGAGTGTGTTCCACACCTAACCATGAATAGGGCTGGCAGGGTCCAGGACAGGGCAGCAGGAGCCCTGAGGGTTAGAGAACACAAGGTCCATCTGGCAGTGACCAGAAACTCCTGTCCACTAGGTGTAGAAGGGGCCCATCAATAAGCCTCCCACCAAATGCCCTCCTCAAGTTGCAGCAATCCTGGGGGTATAAGCCATACCTCCAGCACCCTTATGCTATGGGAGTACTCACCAAATCAAAGAGGTCTGAGCGAGCCTGGGTGCCAATGTGCAGCAGATGTCGGAAACCACGTGTCACCAGCAGGGCTACCCGTTCCCCTTGTCGCTCCAGCAGGGCGTTAGTGGCCACAGTGGTACCCATGCGGATGCTGGCAATGCGACTGGTGTCCAGTGGCCGGTCCCGGGGCAACAGAATGCCCCCTTCCTAGAGATCACATGGTCAGAAGTCAGGTCCTAGAGATCACATGGTCAGAAACCTCAAGTCAGGGTCCCTGCCAGACCGTGCTCCTCTGCCCAGGCCCACCTGTTCCAGGATGCGACGGATACCCTCTGTTGGAGCATCTGCATAGTTGGCAGGGTCTTCCGAGAGCAGCTTCAATACTCGCACACGCCCTCCTGGGCACTGGGCAAAGACATCCGTGAAGGTACCGCCACGGTCAATAGCGAAATGGAAGTGTCCCTCTGGGTTACCCATGACGGTGGGGCTGGCGCCTAGCAGTGGCCCTTCAACTGGTAGTCCTGGGAGAACTGGACAGAAAAGGCTGTCAGCAGGACTGATGGCTGAGCAGGAATCCAGCTGGCCAGCCCAGCACCCCGCCCCAC